GCAGGGGTGCCTCGAGGGACCTTCTCTTGCCCCATCTCCAGCCCTTTACTCCTCAAAGCCTTTCCCACAATTTTTAGGGCTTTCCCATGTATTTTTAGGGGGTGTTAACTGTGTGCTCAGTGCTTGTCACTTGACCTGTGGGAATGAGCACTCATGAGTCCCCCATGGGGCTGGGGATAAATGGGGTTCAGGGGGATAAATGGGTCTCCCAGGGGGTGCTGGAGGGTCTGGGGGGGCTGTGGGGTGATAATGGGGACTAATGGGGTGCTGGGGGGTGGAGGGAGGTGTTAGGGATGCTGTGGGACATGGCTGTGAAAGATTTTGGGGGTTTTGGAGGATGTTGGGTGTGCTGCGGCTCAGGAAGATGCTGAGGGTTCATGTGGGTGCTGTGTGGGATGTCTCAAAGTTCTGGTGAGGGTCGGGGGGCTCAGGTCTTTCTTGGGGGGGTCTGTGAATGATGGGGGTTCAGGCAGGTGCTGGGGGTGGTCTCAAGGTGTTTATGGTCTCAGGTAGGTCCTGGTGGGGTGTGTCTGTGTAATGACAGGGTCAGGCAGTTTTTGGGGGTGGTCTCAAGGTATGTATGGACTCAGATGGGTGCTGGGAAGGGTCTTAGGGGTCCTGAGGAGCTCTGATGATCCAGGGGAGGCTCAGGCTGGTCTGGGTTGGGGACAATCATGGACAGAGGTGGATGCTGGCAAAGGGGGTCTCATTGTTCTGGGCTAAAACTTGTGCAGGGAGTCTCAGGGGGACATTGCGGGTGCCAGCAGGGAGGGATGTGGGTGCTGGGGGATGTTGGGGGGTACCAGGATGGTTGGGGGGTACCGGCGTGGTTGGGGGGTACCGGGATGGTTCAGGGGTACCAGGGTGGTTGGGGGTCCTGAGGGATGTTTGTGGCACTGTGAGGCCCTAGGGCTGGCACGGGACTTTGGGGTCCCTGGGGGTTTTTGGGGGTCCTGGAACAGTGTTGGTGGTCCCAGGGCGGTGTTGGAGGGTCCTGAGAGGTGTTTGGGACAGCAGAGGGACAGGTGTTGGTGAGGTCCTCGGGGGTGCTGAGGCTTTGGGCTGAGCAGGGTGTTGGGGGTGCTGGGCAGCGTTGTGATCCCAAGCTGGGCTGGCCCGGGTGTTGAGGGCCCCGGGTGCTGTGGGGGGTCCCGGGCAGGGCGGTGTTCCCGGGCAGTGTTGGGTTGTCTGGGCAGTGTTGGGTTCTCTGGGCAGTGTGGTGTCCCCGAGCAGTGTGGGGGTTCCCCGGGCGGTGTTTGGTCTCGGGGCAGTGTTGAGTCTCCGGATGGTGTTAGGTCCCTGGGTGACACGGTGGTCCCGGGGCAGTGTGGGGATTCCCCGGGCGGTGTTGGTTACCCCGGGCAGTGTTGGTTCCCCGGGCAATGTGGCAGTCCCTGGGCGGTGTTGGTTCCCCGGGCGCTGTTTGTTCCCCAGGCAATGTGGCAGTCCCTGGGCGGTGTTGGTTGCCCGGGCGGTGTTGGTTCCCCGGGCAATGCGGCGCCGCCCGGGCAGTGAGCAGGCCCCGAGCCGGACCGGACCGGACCGGGCCGTGCCGTGCCGTGCCGTGCCGTGCGGGGCCGTGCCGGAAGCCGGAAGCGGGGCCGTGCCCGCCCCGCCGCGGGAGGAGCCGGGGCGGGGCCCGGGGGGGTGAGGCCGCGGGCGCGGGCGGGGGTCGCGGGGGGCCCGGATTGCGGCCTCTCCCCGCGGGGTCGGCCTGGGGGGGGGTTCCGGCTTGTGGAGGCCGGAGCCTGGGGTGGGGGTGTCATACTTAGTTTATTGATTTATTTGTAGGAATATCCCCTGGCTGGGGCTCCTGTGCCTCAGAGGAACACGGGCGAGGCCGTGGGGCTGTGGCCGGGGAAGGGTCCTTCCGGAGGGGTTTCAGCCCAAGGCTGGGCCCTGATCCCCTGGCAGGGCGAGAGAGGCGGCATCAAGCAGATGGGAATATATTTTTATATCTGTATCTATATATATGTACATCACTGTAGGTTCACCCGCAAGACGAGCGAGCTTTCCCTTTTAAAGACTCCTCCAGCACCATTTCTGTCTAAATATTTACCTTCTAAAGCCTTGGACTAAGCACCCTGGGTCTGTGGGCAGACTGGGGTGCAAACCCTGCCAGCCAAGTGCCATCACTGTTTCTGTTGGTGGAGAGAGCTGCTGATTCCTCCCGGGGTGGTGGAGTTCATAAAAAACCAGAATAACATATGGGTTCCTCGTTTAAAGGCCTCTCTCTCTGAGGGGCTTGCAAGGGATGAGCCCTGCTCAGTGTGTGTGATGGCAAAGAGGGTACAGTAGCCTGTTGTTACTATTTTGTAGGGATAGGAAGGGAAATAATGGGCTGTTATTTGTTTTTTAAGGCCTCATCTGTTCTCCCAGCAATGTGGGAGCATAATGCCTTATTTCCTAGCTGGAGGATTGAGTTACTCTTGATGTTGTGAAGGAGCTGGATTGGGTTTTCAGTGTCTGTGATTTACAGGGGCTGTCTACAAAGGTGTTTGCTCAGAGTGGAATGTACATGGAGAGGGGTGGGAACTGGGGTATATCTCAGTGTTGTATTTTAGCAGGATTTTTCTGATGTTTGGAAAAGGACAAACCACAGCGTTTGACAGCATTTCTGTGGGGATGTTTGTTACAAGTAGTTCCAGGCAGATCCTGCAAGCAGCAGAAGCTTGTTGAATCTGCTGGAATTCCGCACGGGACAGCTTCAGGGGGGAAAGCTTTGGCACTCAGGAGCCAGAGGACACTAGATAGTCTTTTAGACCACTTAGCACACCACTTACAGTGTCCAGGCAACTGGAGTAATCAGAAAAGCTGGAGGGGGGGAAAAAAAGGGCTTTAATATCCTTCACATGTGCTGGCTCCTGCTTCTTCCATGAATCAGGGTATTGCATGAATGAAAGAGTTAGTAAAGCAATGGCTTGTTTTTATTGTCACGTGCGTGGCAGGTGCTTTACAGATGACGAAGAAAAGTCCTTGTCTTGGAGAGGTTAATATGAGATGTTATTGACTCAACCTGCTTTGCTTGCCCATGGGGCTGCTCAGGTGGCAAGATCTGGGACAAATATTTGCATGGAATGCAGAGAATGTCGGTAGAAGAGGGCCAGGAGCTAATTAACCTGGTAATGCAGTGCAGTATGTTCTCAGAGTTGGGTTTTAATTTGGCATTTTTACCTTTTTAGTGTTTCTGTGGCTGTGGCTAGAAATTTGACACTGATGTTAATAGAACATCTGACACTAACTGCTGGAGTTGAATGCTTAGGCAGCTGCTGACCAAACAAATCAGGATTATTTTTCAGCCAGATAATTTTCCTGGTCTGATGCTCTATGTGACCATATAAACAAGTGTGCAAGGGCAGAATAGGGAGCTCTTGTGGGGAGAAGAGCAGTCACTGAAGCTGTGAAACCTGGGGGTTTTTGAAAATACATCCCAGTCTTGCATCAAAAGAAGATATTAACATCGCCCTTACTTGAGGTGTGACTTGTAGGTGATTTAGGGGGAGAGCTGTCAGCCAGTTCTTTAAAAGCAAATCAGAGTTCAAATCTGAACTTTATCATGTCTGTGGTTCTGTCCACACATAGAGTTATGGCTGATTTGTGCCGTGGGAGCAGCCAGAACAAATTACAGCTGAGCAAATCTACGTTTAGGTGGCTTGTTACTCAGGGCTGGTCAGTGTGTGCTCAGGTGAGCAGAGCAGCTCTGTGCTCTCCCAGGCAGGCTGTGCTGGGAGCTGTGTGAATAGTTACAGTTCTCACGGTGCAGGGACAGAATTTGGGGAGCAGAGTGGTGAATTGGGTGAAGTGGATTCATGAGCTCGTGGTTCCTGTGGCCAGGAAACTGTAGAGCAAAATGGGGACAGGGGCGTGATTTCAGTTTTCAGCTGTGATTATCCATCGTGCTTCTTGTGTTTTTATGTGATGATCCTCAGGCTGTGCTCTCAGGGCAGAGCATTGCTCAACTCTCTCCCAGTTTGATCAGGTTAGTGTTACCCACATCAGAAACGAGAGGCAAAGCAAAACTCTGCAGATTCTGCCTTTCCCCCAGGCAGTGCCAGTGTTTTTCCCAAGCAATAGGAAAAATTTTTACAGTGTGATCCTCACATTGGCAGCTTGTACCTTGTCCAGCAATTTCTTTACATCTTTTCTTGAGCCCATCAGCTGCTCTCAAAGAGGCCTTTGTGGCAGAGTGAAAGTGGTAGAGAAATATACTTTTTTTTTTTTTTTTTGCAACTTAATGTTGATCTCTCATGGGTGTGTTCTTATAAGTGAGAAATAATTTGCTGTCAGATGCCATTTTGTCACCCAGCACAATGCAGTTCTTGCTGGGATATTTAGTTCTGTGACTCTCTGACCTGCGGGCAAACTTGGAGAGGAAGGTGGGGGCTTTGTTGCCTGCAGGGCAGCTGCTCTCAGGTTGCTGTTACTCAGTAATCAGTTGGCTTTGACATTAAGTTGCGAAAATTTAAACACATTGTAAACTGCCGAACTTTGCCCGACACATTCTTCTTGTTTCTCTGTCCTGTCCCACTGCTGACGGGGGATTTAGTGAAAACAAATCTGGGTTAACAGAAGCGACTGAAATTGTAGCGCGGGAGGGCTTAGCAGGGCTGCTGCGTGTGATGATCAGCTTTGTAGTGTTGCCTTTTGTACTTGGTGAGCAATTGCTTTATGGGACGGATTCATTTGGAGGAGATGAATAAATGGAGTTTCATGGATTTCTGGGAAGCTTTGTTCATTTACATAAGCTGCGGATCTCGGGCCGGTTGTGCTCTTGTCAGGAAATTTCACGGCTTCTTTGAGTCGGTGGGAGATCCTGAAGCAGCAGAGACTGTTAGGAGTGCACAGTGTTGTGCTGTTGGCTGGGAGCAGGTTTGCTCCAGAGGAGCCTTCCTTCTTTCCTGGGCACTGCCACATTCCTGGGATGGCTGTGCACTCGCTGCTGTTGGGTTGTGTGGCTGCAGTTGATTCCTGTTAACACACCCCATCTCTCCTCAGGGATTTCTGCTCGGAGGCCATGGAGCTTTCAGCCAACGAGCTCAGCATCTATGACAAGCTCTCTGAGACCATTGATTTGGTGAGACAGACTGGCCACCAGTGTGGCATGTCAGAAAAAGCCATTGAGAAGTTCATCAAGCAGCTCTTGGAAAGAAACGAACCCCAGAGGAGCCCTCCACGGTACCCTGTCTTAGTGGCTCTCTACAAGGTAAGATGACTTTTGTGCATGAGCACAGCATTTGAGGGTTAGGGTTCTCCTTTGAACCTGAGCTTTTTATTCCCATTGCATTTTCTTGATGAATTTTCCAAGATCTTTATTTAAAAAGCTGTGAAGTGTAGCTTCCTTCCTTCATGCCATGAGCTGCTTTGAGAACAGGAGACATCTGCTCAAGATTTGGAATTCCTCATGTGTGCTGTAAATTTACATTGTCAACATCTTCCTCTCCCATAAATTATTAAATAATGAGATTTGGATTGATTTTTCAGGCTAAAATTCCTAGTGTTGGCATCCTGAATGGAAATGTGAGGAAGGAAGGAGATTCTTGAAGTTCAGGGTTGAGTCATGAAGTGAACATGGCTCTCTTTCTGAACCTGCCACGAACTTCTACATGTCTTTATTCTCCTTCTGGTCTATGAAATAAAGCTATTATCATCACGCTTGATGGTAGAAAAATGTTTTAAAAGCCTTAACTAAAAGATTGTGTAAAAACTTTTGCGAAGTGAGTGAAAGGATGCTATTGTTAGGTAGGTTTGAGACCATACAATCCCAGCCTGCTTTGGGTTGGAAGAGATCTTAAAGATCATCTAGTTCCAAGTCCCTTCCACGGGCAGGACACTTTCCACTATACCAGATGTTTGCTTCAAGTCTGAAAAGCTTCCCACTGACATAATATTCAGTAATAAGAGAGTGCAACCTCTACAAATCCATTGCAATGGATTTTATTTGGAAAAAACTTCAAGCTCTCTTCCTCATGTCCTATAAAAAGCTGTAAAATTAGGCAGGAGAACAGAAAACTGCAAATTTGAACTTTCAGCTTCTGTTCTTGTTTTTGCTGTTGATTCAGTTTGACTTTGGCCAGGGGGAGAAATGCGTCATGTCATCTCTTTAAGGCTTATTTGGGATTCTGGTATGGAGGAGGGAGCTGGTGCCAACTCTGCCAAAGAGTTTTGAGGCTTGACGGATGTTTGCAAAAGCCACGGGGTTTTCCTTGTGTAAGAGGCATGGCAGGAGTGCAAGCTTTTATTTGATTAGGTAGGGAGGGAAAGGAACTATCTGTAGATAATCCTGATTGATCTCATGCTGGATTATTTGCAGTGCTAAAATACAGGAACAAAGCTGTTTGCGTGGCTTGGGTTTGAGGGCTGCTTAATTTCATCCGTGGACAGCCCTAATAATAAAACTGGCTGACAACTCTGTGCACATAAATAGCATTGCAGCTGAACGAGGAGACACAGCAAAAAATAAGAGTGTTCATGTTGTGGTGCACAGCCACAGCCCTTTGACACAGCAGAAGGTGTGTCCTGGAGTGAGGACACCTCAGCTCCCTGCAGTGTGATTAACTCTGTGCCTCTTTTCCCGTGCAGGGACTGCTCACCCTGGGCTTGGTGTTGCTGACTGTTTACTTGGTGATCCAGCCCTACAACCCGCTGCCACCTGAAGCACCTCTGTCCAGAGCCCAGGCCTGGGGCTCCCTCGTCGGGCACATCCGGCTGCTGTCCCTGCCCATTGCCAAGAAGTACATGTTGGAGAGTAAGGAAGTGTTTTCTGTGCTGTAACATAAGCCTAGCAAGAAATACCAACTTTAATACCAGCCACGAGAGTCACTCGAATGTCTCTGGGGCACCACAAATGTGTTGCTGGCTTGGCATCATGGTTTTCTCTTTCCCTACCACTGTACTTAAAAATAGCATCCTGAGTTCTAGCTTCACTGGGGCTGAAGCATATTTTATCTCTAACTTGATAATTTTGTTCTTGCACATTCTCTTTTCCTTGCTTTTAACACCTTGGGTCTTTCTTCCACAAGAGTTCCCTTTTCTCTAGAAATCTTTGCACTTCTGAGAACCAGAACTGAGATAGCTCTGCTAGGGAAATGTCACCTTTTCATGTTTTTTCTGAGTAAGGCAAAACCAGTTTCTCAACCAAATCTTGATATCTGTGAGTAAAGTGTAAAAACCTCAACTTGTGGCCTGGTTTAAGGAAAAGGAGTTTTTGCCAAGTGGCATATTGGGAAAGGCCTGGGGGATTGAGTGCTGTCATGTTTACGTGACACTGAGGGCAGTGTGTGTGTGTGAGGAAGTCAGATAAGGGTTCCCTGTGAGGTGATCCCATCACAGGAGAGTAACATCCTAGGTTTTCCTAGAATGGCATAATAGAAATGGAAAAGTTTGGCTATTTCTCATTCTTGGTTAATCATTTCACTCACTTAGCCTGGCAGGTGGGTGCAAGCCTGGGCTCTGCCTCTGCTGGAACACAAAGACTGTCAGTGATGATAAAGCTGTGAATTATTTTGAGCAGGGATGTGGCACAATGTCGATGGCCTGGTGGCTCACTGTAAAAACAAACTCCTGTAGCCGTGCCCTTGTCATGTTTATATTTAGCTCGTGCACCTCATTGTGCTGGAGTTGTCTGTGTTGGCTCTGACCTTCCTGCCAGAGCTAAAAAGGGCTCCCTGAAATGCCAGCACCATTCTGCATTCTCTCCCTCCCTCTTTTCCGATGACGCTGACACGGGATTTCTGTTGATTCCAGTTTGTATGGGTGGGACAGGGTATCCCCCATTGTTCTTCTTATTCCTTATGGATTGGGGTATCTCTGGGAGTGGAAAACAAAGGTGAGAAGATGGCTCTGATAAGCACTTGACATTAGGAGCCTGCTTATCTACTGCATTCAGCTTTTCCATGGGTGAACACCCCCCTGCTCTTGTATTGAGATGGAATCCAATGGGAATTTTAATGCTCATTTCACTTTTCACAAGGGCCAGGAGTGACAGGACAAGGGGGAATGGCCTAAATTTGAATGCATGTTGGACATTAGGAAGAAATTCTTCCCTGTGAGGGTGGGGAGGCCCTGGCATGGGTTGCCCAGAGCAGCTGTGGCTGCCCCATCTCTGGAAGCTTTCAAGGCCAGGTTGGACAGGGCTTGGAGCAACCTGGGGCAGTGGAAGGTGTCTCTGCCCATGGCGTGGGGTGAAGCAAGCTGAATTTTAAAGTCCCTTCCAACCCAAACTGTTCTGTGGTTCTATTGTGTTTGTTCAATCAGATTTTGTCCAGAAAGTTGACAAGTTCTTCCTTCAGCTACCATAGGGTCTCTTTGGATGAGAAGAGCCCAGGGAGGTTCCTTGGCACAGCTAAAGGTTTGTAGGACAAGGGCTGCCTGAAACCATGAGGATCTCCTTGTAAAGATAAATAAGAGCAGGAGCAGTTCTGGCCTAACTTTGGAAAAACCAGCTGAATGATGAGGAGATGGGGAAACATCCAGAGGAACAGGGGAAAAGGGAAGGATGGATGGAGAAGAAGGATGCAGTGTTGTTATTTAAATGCACATAAAATCCCTCATGCTTCTGTGAGTCCTGTAAGTCTTCAGAAGCAATGAGCAATAGGGTGGGCACCAATCCAGTTCTGGGGAAAAGAGAGGGGAGAGGCAGTTCCTGCTCTGTTTTTGACAGAATTAGATTGTGGTGGAAGCCACAGCATGTCTCAATTAACAGATTAATGGGGGTTGGCTGGAGTGACTTTGATCCTGCCTCAGCAAAAGGAACTGCACAAGACCCTGGCTATTTAAATGGGAGAGTGCAGCACCCAGCCTGAACCTTGGCTGGGTTCCTATGGGAATCCCTCATGTCCTGGCTTCCCAGCAGGCAGCTGCAGCCACTGACACTGTCCCAGTGACACTGGTGTCACCATCACAGCTTGCTGCCCAGAGGAGACTGGTGAAGCCATCCAGCAGGAATCTGGAAGAGGGAATTCCATGGCTTGGGGCTGAGTGTTCTCCCAAGCCCTTTCAGCCCTGCTTTTTGTGTGTTGTATTATTTTGCCCCTAATTTTGGCCTTGTGGTCTGCTGAAGGGAAGGGGTAAAGCTGCATCTTGTGTCCCGTTTGTTGATGAGAGTTTAAGTCCAGGTCTTGCAGGCAGGTCTGGTGTTCTCTGATCACAGAATGCCAAAGTAGTTTGTGTTGGAAAGGACCTTTGCAGGTCATGCAGTTCAACCCACTGGCAAGGCAGGGTCACCTGGAACAGGTGGGTTTGGAATGGATACAGAGGGGGGGACGTGGCTTCCCTGGCACCTGTTCCAGCACTCTGCCACCCTCCATGGAAAGAAGTTCTTCCTCGGGTTGAGGTGGAACTTCCTGTGTTTTAGTTTGTGGCTAAAACATGTTGCTGGGCACCATGGAAAAGTCTGACCCAGCCTCTTGGCATCCCTTGGAGATATTTATATGCCTTAATGAGATCCCCTCCGAGTCTCCTGTCTCTACAAGGGAGATGTTTGCACTGTGCCTGAGCAGCAGAGAAAACCACTAATGAAGGGACTCGACGTACAGACTCCTCTTCCCTTCCCTACGTAGGTTCTGGGAAGAAAATTTTGAGGGGGCTGAGGATGGGGCTTGGAGCTCTCTGTGCTCAGGCACCAGTTCAAAGCCAGCTCGGGCTGTTCCTGTTGAAAGCCACCTGTTGTCAGCTGGAGGCTGCTGTGGCCCACCGGCAGTGCCGGCACACATTGCCGGGCCGTGGACACGGGTGGTCTGGCTCCTTCCTCTGTGCCTGGGCAGGCAGAGGCAGCCTGGGCTGTGCTGTCCCTCCTGAGCTTTGGGGCAGCTTTCCTGTGTCCGGGGTTGAGGTTGGAGCCTGCTCTGCTGGGAGGTGTGGGCTGAGCAGCCAGGTTTGTGTTGCAGAACAAGGGCGGCTCAGTTGCTGGGTTTCCCCTGAGAGCCAAGAGCTCCAGTCAGACTGGTGGTGAGGCTTTGGGAGGTGCAGAGGTGCAGGATGTGCTCCCCCCTCCCTCCTGCTGATGGTGACCTGCCCTCCATCCTTGTGCCTTCCACCCAAGAGCTGTGCTGTGGGTGACAAGGGCTGCCTGTCTGTCAGTGGCTGTGGGTGGACCTTTGAGCAGCCGAGGTGAGCAGCAGCATCCACAAAACTCTCTCGAATTGTTTATAGGATTGAGTCCAAAGTAAATTTCCTTTTTGCCTGTCTCTGTGCTCTCTTTCTTACTGACTTTTTTCCCCGGATCAATTCCCATATTAAACCTTATGTTCCCATCCTTTGTTCCTTGATAGCTGACTCTTAGACCCTTGGGTCTGTGCCTCTCTTCCAGCTGTTTTCCCAGGGCAAGGTCCCTGTGGTTGGGGGAAAGGTCTGTGGAAATGTGGTTTGCATTTGCTCTTCCTGAGCTGGTGTTTATGCAGAGCTTGTGAAAGCCCTGGTGCTGGGTCAGGTTGGCTGCTCTGGGCCTGCAGCTCTTGGCACATCAGCCCTTCTTTTATAACCCCAGAGAGATTGTAAATGGCAGTGGGCTGTCAGACCTCTGGGTCTACCTGCTGTAAAGAACATGGTGTATTTTGATGGGTTAACTCACAGCTACCTAATGCTGTTCCAGGGAAATGTAGGACCTGTGCATTCTGGATTAATTTCTCACACAGGCTGGGATGGACAATTCCCTCTGTGTTTCAGTTCTCTGGTGCAAAATAGGGGTACAAGTTCTCCTCCCCTGCAAGCATTAGGAAGCATTAGGAATACATGAGCTCTCAAAGTCTGCTGTAAAGCCAAATGAAAAGGGGTTTTCTATTCTTTTACCAGAAATTTTAAAACCACACTGGTAGTCACTAATCTGATTTTTCTTTCCTTCACAACCGTGTCATCCCTATAGCTTTGTTAATATCTAAATATGATTTTTGATGTCAGCTGGTTGATAACTGTTCCCTGCCAGCCATGCAGTGATGTGATGAACAGAGCATTAAGCTGCTCTCACTTTAACTTGTGTGTCTGCCCATGGTAAGTTCAGTCCTTGCAGCTCAAAAACCTCAGCAGAGCAGGTCTGTCAGTGGGGAACAGGCTGTGGCCCAATGTGGCAATTTGCACGTTGTACTGGTAGCAGGGGTTATAATGACCTCAATGAAAAACCAGCTTTGCTTTTAATAATGACACTTGGTCCTGGGCACACTCATCCTGCACAGCCCAGAATCAGCTGGGTCAGTAACTGCTCAGCCCAGCTAAAATCAGACAAAAGCACACATGAATCTCAGTGCTAGAAAAGAGATCCTGTGCAAGTTATCCCCCAGCTTGGAGAAGAAGTGTTAAATGCCCCTTTTTGCCTAGACCAGTAGGGCTAAAATCATGTTTACAGCTTTATGTGTAATTATTGTAGAGAAAGGAGCCCAGCTGGAGGAGCAGTGTTTAGCAACACCTTGTAAATGGCCTGTCACTGTGTTACTAAAGCCTGCTGGGTGCCAGAGCTATTTGTGGGGATGGGTCACAGCAGGCTGGGTTACTGGGGGAGGGCAGCAGCTGGTTACTGGGAGAGGGCAGCAGCCTCTGCCTCTTGGCTGGCCCACCTTGGGTTTTGCTGGAGGCTTGCCTTGGCACTTGGCCAGCCCTTCTCTTCCCTCATCTTAACCCTTTGCAGGCAAAACACTTTCCCCTATGCTTCTCTCACTCCAGCCTTGGAGAGTTTTTATCCTTGACACAGCTTTGTGCAGAAGGGGAGCATCCAGCATGCCTGCCTTGCGCAGAGACTTGCTGCTTCTTGAGAGCAGC